CCATGAAAGCCAAAGACACCAATACCACTAGTCCATATATCATTTAGTTTTTCCAAATACTGGTTCAACATATTTTCTATCTTGTTCCCTAAAATTGAGATCCCAACAGAAAACTCCAAATATAGAGAATTCTCTAGTGACAAGTAGGGTTGTAGACGAACTGAACGTTCTGTGAATCGTTTGGCGGAAAATTCGTTTATTTAATAAATGAATGAACATGAACAAAAAAATTTGTTCGTTTAGTTAAACGAACGAACATGAACAAGAGTCTCGTTCATTTATGTTCGTGAACGTTCGTTCGTTTATATTCGTTTATATATTGATTTTTAATATATAACTTTTATTTATTTAGTTTGAATTCAAATTTTTAAAGGCCTTTTATGTATTGGTATATTAATGATGGTTGATGAATGGTGATTGTTTTGTGTATGTTTAAACTATGGATAATTGGTGTGTAATAGTTAATTGAATGATAAGTATTGGTGTTCGTTTGTTTATGTTTATTTAGACCTGTTCGTTTATATTCGTTCAGGTCTGTTCGTTTACGTTCGTTTATCCCGTTCGTTTATGTTCGTTCGTTTAGCATGTTAATGAACGAACATAAACGAACACGAAAACACCTGATTTCTAAACGAACGAACATGAACATAATTGTTTTCGTTCGTTTACTGTTCGTTTGTTCGGTTAAGGTAAACGAACGAACATGGATAAGCCTCTGTTCGTATTCGTTCTGTTCGTTTACAGCCCTAGTGACAAGATACAAATGTTATTTTAATATTTCTCACAAATGAGATTTCTTTATATTTATTTAAAAATTTATTGGGTTGATAAAATTATATAATATTTTGATAATATAATTGATGTTGAAGTTCTCTAAAATAGAGAATATGTTGGAGTTGAATGCAATTATTTTAGATATTTTGACTTTTTGTTAAAGAAATATTTATGAAACCAGATAAATGTAATGATTTCTTACTTAGATCTGTTAAAAAAATTTACAACATTTTTGTCAGGTGAATCATATTCAAACTCCCTCTTATATATTGTATGTGAGTGAGGAGGGTGTATATATAACAACGCTCATCTTGACATTTAGATGGCATAAGTAGGTATATAACATTAAATGTGAACAAGCCGATCCTTTTTTCCGACCCGTTGGAGTCTAGATACATATCTGGTCGTTCTGGCCTACTAACTTTGAATTATGTTTTAGAACATTGTTTCAGTGTGCACTTTGCGATAGAGAGAATTCACTAGACCTGTGACGCGTCTTAGTATTCAAGGGAATTCACTAGACCTTCGGTCGAACCCTCGTTTTTATAAAACTGAAACTTTTCTAAGAAAGTATCATGTCGAGAGCTCTAACAATGGTAAAGGGAAGGTGTGAGCCTTGAGGCTTGAAGCTGGGCTTTACTTCTTTATTAGATAGCTGCCTTAGATTTAAGTTCAGATTCTGTAATAAGGGGGTGTTTGAGATTGCTTATTTGAAACAATTGATGCTTTTATACAAAAGCACTTATCAACTTATTATAAGTCAGAAAGGTTTAACTTCTCCAAAAACTCCTTATTACCGGTTTGGCACCGGTATAAGTTGTTTATCAAAAGACTCAAAAGTGTTTATTACCGGTGTCACACCAGAATAAGTCAATAAGTTGTTTTTATAAGCAATCCCAAAACACCCCCTAAGTCTCAACAGTGTTACTTTAATTTTTCCGATGCAGCTCATGAGATGGATTTGGATTGTAGACCTTGACTTAGTATTTGTACATGTCGGTTTGACAAAGATTATGTAATGTCTTTTTTGGATTGTGATCGTTACACCTTGTGAAAAGTTTGCATGTTAAACTTTTATTTTCACTTACTGAAGTGAAAAATATACATAAAAATATTTTACATGGTGAAACTATCACATTATGAAACAAATATATGTAAAACAATATCTGAAATCCTACTATTTAATGAAAATATTATGTAAAAATATTTTTATATCGATTTTCACGAGTTTGTAAACCTTTTATGGTTCTAATTCGTTTTGTTGTTTCAGAAGGGTACTCGCAAAGCAGCGAGATACATCTCAAATTTAAATGTTTTGTTTTATTCTGTCTTCGTCGATGTTATAGTACAATTTTATGTCGTACTAAAAAACGATATTATTTTTATTTTTTAAATAAAATATAAATTTGAAGGTATCATGAAATTCTGAATTTTTTTTCCCCGATTTTAGTGTTAAAAAACGTGAGTTTTATCTTAAAAAATCTACCTCAACCAATAAGAAAATTGACATGTGCCAATTTCATTTAAAAGTGAATCCTCAATATTGGATTGTAGGGTGAGATGGATGGATGTAGCTTATCTTTTTGAAATCTTGTTTGTCCCATTCACTATCTGATCTTCTATGTTGTAAGAGTATATCTAATACTTATATTTAAAATATATATATATATATATATATGATATTTTAACATTTTTGTTGCTCCAACAACTGCTATCCTCAATGCTAAAATAGAGAAAAGAAAAAGGTTGCAAAAATCTCTAAATTTAGAGAAATCTGTTAGGATCAAGCGCTTACCCACTACACCAGAAGCAATTGYCTTGGTGAAGGCGCAACCTTATTTCTCTTATAGTGTAGTAGCCAGCGTCACGTTTCGATTTAGGAAGATGCTGGAACCGTGACCAACAATCCCCCCCCCCACCGCATCTGCCGGTACTAATAAGAGCTTCGTTAGAAGTCAATGGCCGCGCAACATGTCTTTCTCATAATTATGCACTCCTTGCATATTATGCACACTATGGGATTCGAACCTGTGACTTGTTCTGATACCAATTGTTATGATCAAGCACTTACCCACTACATCAAAAGCAATTGTCTTGGTGAAGGCGCAACCTTATTTCCCTTATAGCGTAGCAGCCAACGCCACGTTTCGATTTAGGAAGATGCTGTAACCGTGACCAACAAAATCTCTAAAGCTTTTTATTAGAACATAAAAAAACAATATTTTAATCATATTCAACCAATTAAACTTATTGAAATTAAATATGTAGAAGAGATAAATAATATTTTATTAAATGTATTGAATATTTTATTAATATAGTTAATGTGAGAAATGCTAAAATAGAATAGTTGTTGGAGTTGGATGTAAATTTTTTTAAAAGGGTGTTTGGGATTGCTTATTTGAAACAACTTATATTTTTCTACAAAAGCACTTATCAATTTATTATATCAAATTATTAAATAATTTAGTGCACATCTTGATTTTTTATTGACTTTTTAAGTTAGAAGAGTTTAACTTATCAAAAAACTTCTTATCACCGGCTTGACATCGGTATAAGTTGTTTATCCAAATACTCAAAAATGCTTATTACCGGTGTCATACCGGAATAAGTCAATAAGTTATTTTTATAAGCAATCCCAAACACCTTCTAAATTTTTTGACTTTTCATACTCTATTATATAAAAAATTTAACATAGCTGTTAAAAATGCTCTAAGTAAATAAAGTCTAACATTCAACTTTGTATACAGTTATGATGGTCCCAGCCGTAACTTTTTTCAACCGGGCAATTAATGTTTCTTTGACATTTTTAAGTCGTTTTTTTTAAAATCCTCATTTTATAAGAAAATCTCAATGATGTAAAAAGATCTAATCAAATGTTGACATGTAATAAGTATCTAATTTTTATTAAAAAAAATCAATAAATTTAATGAATATCACCTTTCTTAAGTTGACATGTAACAAGTATCTAATTTTTAATTAAAAAAAATCAATAAATTTATCAAAAATAAATAAGTATCTAATTTTTTAATTAAAAAAATCAATAAATTTAATTAAAAATTAGATACTTATTACATGTCAACTATAGAAAAGTGATATTTATTAATAGTTTATTAAATTTATTGAATATTTCATTAATATAGTTAGGGGTCGTTTACCTAAATGCTTATCCAGTAAGCGTTTATCGTTCGGAGTCAACACTGTAATATATTTCACCGGGTAAGATTGTAGTACATCAAAAAGGCATCGTATGCAACAATTTAAGGGGTAAGCGCTTACCCAAGTAAGAGTCGTTACCCTCACTTACCGAACAAGACTATTCATCTTTATCATTGCTCTTACCGGGTAAGATTTTTTATCCTTGTCATGTTTATCCGGTAAGAAAAATTACCCAATAAGCACTTACCGGGTAAACGTTTAGTAAACACCCCCTTAATGCTATAGTTGTTGCAGTTGTATGTAGGCATGGCAATAGGGCGGGTTTTGTAATCCTCGGCCCCGGCCCCGGTTTGTAGTAACGTCCCCCAGCCCCGGTCCCGGTCCCCGGCAGGTACGGGGATTATCATCCCGTCTCCGGTCAAATCTCTAATAATCCCTGGTCAAAACCTGGTAAAACCTCGTTCAATCCCCGGTCAAATCCCATAAATGGTATCCTTTAGTTTGATTTTACCGAGGATCCCCGCCCCCCAGCCCCGGTTTGAGTAAGATCCCCCGTCCGCGGTTTGTGTCTACCAGGGATCCTCGGCCCTGGCCCCGGGACCCGCTTTAGCGGGGAATCCTCGTCCCCGGTTTGAGTAAGATCCCCCGTCCGCGGTTTTGGCCCCGGGACCAGCTTTAGCGGGGAATCCCCGTCTCCGTTCGGGTCGGGTGAACCGGGTTTTCCACCGGATCGGGGCAAATCACCATCCCTAGGTGTATGTAATTTTTTTAAAAGATTTTGACTTTTCATACTCCATTATAGGAAGAATTTAACATAGCTATTAGAGATGCTTTAAGTAAACAAAGTCTACCATTTAACTTTGCATGCGGTTATGACGGTCCCAACCGTAACTTTTTCAAGCGGACAATTAATGTTTCTTTCACATTTTTTCAGTCGTATTTTAAAATCCTCATCTTATAAGAAAATCTCAATAACGTAAACGTATTTGATGAGACGTTGACATGCGATAAGTATCTAATTTTTAATTAAAAAATCAATAAATTTATCAAAATTAATTCAAATTTATTTCATCTACTAATAAAAAAAAACAAATAAATGAACTTAATTACAGAAATTCCAAAACAACAACGAATAATAACTGAGATACATATTTATCAACTTACTGATTTTTAGTCAGATATTCAAGAATAGATTTAAGCCGATTGTTATAAACGAAGGGTCGTTCCAGTGGTACCAAATGCCCTGCATCCTTTATCCAATCTAGCGTTGTTTTCTCACCTAATCGCCTACAGTAAAACATTGACACGACTTATAACTAATTACGTGCGTGCATATAATCAAATTTAATAAAACTCGGTTTCGTTTTCTTGAACAAAGCTATAAGACTTACGTTTTCATGGTTGTTGCAAGGTCGAGATCGAAGATTTTGTCGTCATCACCCCATAACATACGTATCGTCTACAAAAAATATATATTAAAACGTGTTATATACGAGAAGTTTTTATTGTCCTACCAAGAGTAAAATTCCATTTTCGTCCTCAAGATTTACAATTTTTAACGCTTATCGTCTCTAAAGTTCAACAAACTTGGAATTTGTCCCTCGTATTTGTCAATTTCCAGAGGTTTTGGTCCATCTGATTAACGTGCTCCGTTAAGTGCATTAAATGAGGGGTATTTTAGTCATTTTCACTCTTTTTATTATGTTAAAATAAAAAATCATATTACATTTTTTTTATTTTAATTTGTAGAAAAAAACGAAAAGTTGTGGTTATCCTTTTTCTTTTGTTTACTTTTTTTGTTTTACAGAATCGGGAAAAAAAGTATGTTCTTTAATTTCAATATAAATTAAGAAAATAGTAATTAAAATAACCACCCATTTAACTGGAGTTAACAGAAAAATTAACGACCGTCAGATGAAAAAACCAAAACCGTTGGAAATTAACAAACGTGAAGGACCAAATCTTAGTTTTTTTGAAATTTAGGGTTGAAAATTACAAACAATATATAATTTATCTGAAAGTATATTGATACTGTTAAATTCAAAATGGAAAAACGGTTGTAATTAAATGTAATTTTATTTTTTTAAAGATTATGACTTTTTTGAAAAATCTGTTGTACATGCTCGAAATACCTGCGAATAGTTGCCATCCAAGGTTGCATCTTCGTCATGAACAACCAGAGCCTCTAAGAGTTCGTTTCTTTCTTTTCGATTGTCGAACATCGTCTGCAAAAAAAAAATAGAAAAAAGATACCATCGTTACCTGCTTTATTATAAGTGATCAAAACAGACCATCAATTATTTGAAACAAATTCGTCTTTTATGGAATATTTCGATAGAGAAATACATACCTTAAGAATGTCTCGATAAACGAAATCGGGAACCCATGGGACTTCATGAAACCCAATCGAAAACATTCTCTTTAGTCCATTGATTGTTTTGGGCATCAAAAGGTCCGACCAACTCGACAAGCCAAGTTTCTTGTACGAGTCACGGCTAATGGATTCGGTCATCTCTATGACGGTGCCTGACACGACCATAGACTTGACCAACTTCGGGTAAAACTTAGCCATCTGGAACCCGACCATCCCTCCATAACTCAACCCAACCAGTGTCACCTTCTCGACTTTTAGCCTCTCCAACCCTTTCGCTACAAACTCAGCCTGAAACCTAGCCGACCTCTCCTTTCTATCGGTGATTGAGCCACCGAAGAACAAAAAATCAGGCACGTAGACCGAATAGTCTCGTGTCAACGCAAAAACCTGCAAAAACCACGTGAAAATGCCGTCCATGGCGAAAGAGTGGAGCAGTAGTACCGCAGGCTTGTTGGGTGGTACATAAACGGTTTTGCCGTCATCTTTGGTGACGATTTCTTTTGGAACCCAAACATTCATCCAGGTTCCAGGCTCGATCTCTATAGTTTGTGGTGTTAACCCCGCTAGCTTCACGAGTCCATGAAGGAGAGGGGTTAACACAACAAATACGTTCCCCATTTGCTTTCTTCTTTGAAATTTATGAGAGCCACAAAGCTAAGATTGCTATGTATGTTTATAATGAATACGATATATATATATATATATATATATATATATATATATGTTTATATAGATATAATTTGGCACGTGATGTGGCCTCCTGATTTGACTTTTGTGGTTGTTGGAATTAAACCAAACAAAGGACCAAATTGTTGAATTTGTGGAAATTGAATTCTCAACGCCTACCCCTTGATTGGCTGCTATTTTTGGTGGCATGGTTCAAAAAGGTGCACACGTCATAGTGGGACGTGATTAAAATGAAGTTATAAAATTATCGTGTTATGTTTTATTTTGAATATTTATTGAAGACTATTTTTATAGTAATAATAATTTATTTGATTTTTTCTTATTATAATATAAATGTAAATATATATATATATATATATATATATATAAGGTTGAGTTCACGTGATTAAAACGTTACTCCAAGTAACGTTTCAGTAGACTTGTTTACGATCAGTTAAATAGTACTTTTTTAATAAACTTAAAATAAAAGTCAATTTATTATTATCGAGCACGATTTTATAATACAAATTTGATGAATTATTTCGTATACTTTAAAATGTTAAAATTGCATTTAAAACATCACGTGGATATTTAATATATATGACATGTGGTTATCGGATGGATTAAATGTTAGACTAATGCTTTAATGGGATATTTTATTGAAGGCTGAATTACATTTATTTTTCTTTTTCTTTTTCTTTTTCTTTTTAATCCTCAGAATTTATAAATTATATTAATAGTCCATTTTTTATGTTTTGAATTACAAACTAGTCCTTCTGAATTAACACCGTTAACCTCATTATATGCTCTCATATAACATACATATATACAACATATAAATATGTAACATATATGGTGTACCACTCAATTTGTACAAACCATGCAAACCACCTTCATCCGTCGAATTCATTGTTTAATCTTATGATGTTTTTTTTTTATGAAATTATTTAATTTTGTGAAATTGTTTCATATAATATTCTTTTTGATGAAGTTGTTTCATATATGGTTATGAAATTGTTTCATATAATACTTAATGAAATTGTTTCATTTATTTCTCTAAAATTAAAATAATGAAGATGATAATATCCATGATTAACACTCTCCACAATAAAAGTGATTAATCAACCTCTCATAATTACAAAAAAAAAAAAAATGAAATGAAAAATTATGATTGGTTGAATGAGGTTTGTACGGTTTATACATATAACGTGGTTTGCAAAATAAACCTCCTATATATATATATATATATGGTTGGGTTCACGTGAGACCAAGAATTTTTCATGAGACCCGTAAGATCAATTTATGTTCATTGATCAACTTTATAAGCTAATGATCTAATGGTCTAAACTTTTATGGTGACAATTTTGTGATTATTGAGAAGTATTGTGGCAATTTTGTGATTATGAATGTTCAGATTGTATATCTAATTCAATGGTTGAGAATTTGGTCTTACGTGTCTCACGAAAAATCATTAGTCTCAGTCTCTCAGATGATCCCAAGTGTATATATATATATATATATATATATATATATATATATATATATATATATATTAGTGGGAGGAGTGATGAGGTAAAACTTGTGGACGTGAGGGGGCCGTCCATGTGAAGATGAATTAGGTGTGGTGAGTGGCAGGGTCACCCGCGCCTTTATGTCACGCACAATTTTTGGGTTCTTTGTTAATCCAAACAGAAGCAAACGCCAAGGCGGCTTAACCCAGTTCCCATTTATCATTTATGGCCGACGCTAACCTTTCCTTTTTAAGCTGCTTTCCCCCACCAATGTAAAGACTTCAATGACAGCTTAATCCTTTTCACACTCCATATTACAAAGCTGAAAACAAGCTCACCAACACACCCACAGACGACTTATTCAAAAAGCTGCTACATACTCCGCTCGCGTGGTCCACAAAGTTACAACGGGTTGCTTCTTTGAGCTCAGCGATAACACGTAGCCACCGGTGCTTTTTGCTATCTTCAGCATCACCAGCGTAGTCACTGTCTGTGTATGGCACGAACTCGCTATCAGCTGAATGCTTGTAGTATATCGCATAAATAATCTACGATGCCTTTCGAGTATCTGAGGGCTCTTTTAGCAGCTTGTAAATGTAGCTATGTCGGTCTAGTCATGTGTTTGCTCAATATACTTGGAAAACTTTTATCACCAAGTTTACCTCATTTGGGCTTCGGGATTAAGGATGGTGATTTGTCACGACCCAATGGGGAACCCGGATCACGTGACCCAAACGGGGACTGGGATTCCCCGTTAAAACGAGTCCCAGGTCCAGGGATCCCTGATAGAATCAAACCGGGATTGGGGCCAGGGCCGGGTATTGTACCCCCTGACTCGTCTCGTACCCGGTATACTAATACTCATTTAATAAGTACTAGAAGGGTACTCGCACATTAATGCAACGAGATACATCTCAAATCCAAGCATCAAACCTCCTTCAGCTAGCAATAACTCCAACTAAAACTTAAATTTTAGGATTAAAATTTTCAATATACAACAATCCCGGAAAAAAATGGTAAGAATGTAACTCACATATCACAAATTTTAGCCCTTTCAGCACGTACGACTTATTAATATCACATACAACTTATTAATACACACGTACGACTTCTTGAACTATGGGTCAAAGGAACGGATAATCCAAAAAATGACTACAACAACTAATAAATCATGCAAGTATATATATATGTGTGTGTGTGTGTGTGTGGAACTTCATTTGAAGAGAAAAGCTGTTGTAATTTGAAGAGAAATGGATACAACAACTAATACTTGAAGTAAAGATTTGTTGGGTCATGACCAGCATCTTCCTAACGAAACGGGGCACAGACTGTTACGTTATAAGAAAATAAGTTGCGTCTTCTCCACCAGCAATTGTATTTGACATTGTGGTAAACGTTTAGATCCTAACAGATGTAATTTATTTTTGTTTTAAGGTTAAGTATTTTTTTTATTGACAAAGATAATTATGAAGTATATTTTTATCGTATTAGGAGGACTTGACGATTATCCTATATTGGAACGTGTTCATCGGTTACTTTTATAAAGTGTAAATAATTTTTAAAAAATTTGATTGTATACATTAATTACTTGTAACGTTGCATCATTTGACCCTCGTTCGCTTATCCAGTGTTGCATCAGTTGACCCGATTATCCACATGGACAATCGTCGCCTTTTGCAAGTGTTTGTTACATGTGTCGTAAAGCACACTGTTGTCGTATCCATTAACCTAATCGAGCGTACTTCATGTCTGTCTTACCCGGGTAAGCATCTCTTAACGGGTAAGAGGTGGTAAGAGATTAGTAAACAACCCCTTACTTAAGAAAACAAGAAGTTGTTCTGTGTACGTATGTATTTTGAATAAAAGAAAATTAATCTTTTATGTTATATTTGGGTTAATAGGGTAGGTGTATACAAACTAATGATGGCCAAATCGGCCCGAAGACCGGCAAAGGACCTATTGGGCCCGAGACTAGCAAAGACCGGTTATGAGACCAAAAACGAGGACCGGTTGGGGGTTTTTGGCAGTTTTGTGAGACCGGGACCGGTTATTGGACCGGCCTGAAAATTCAAATAATTTTAAAAATAAATGTATTTTTAAATAATTTTATAATGTACTTTTTTAAGGCAATGTAATTTTAATTATATTATAACGTGTTTTTAAAGTGTATTTGAGTAACCCATTTATAAATTTTATAATGTATTAAAAATATATATATCATTACAAAAATTTTAAAAAATATTTTTTAATACCGGGACCGGCGGACCATAACCGGTTTTCAAGAACCTTGACCGGTCTTACCATTTTCGACTGGACCGGTTATGAGAAAGATTGAGATCGATTAGGACCGGTCTGGCCCGACCCGGGACCGATTTTTGGCAATCACTAATACAAACTGGTTTAGACATTAATAATTATAAAATAAAAAAAATGAGTTTGGTATGTCATCAACAATATGAATACAAAGGGAAAAAAAATAAAACTAATTATCTTATTTTAAATGAATAAATTTTTGAATTATTTTTTTAATAAAAAAACTAATAAATTTTCTCATTTTAAATTATTAAATTCAAAAACATTTTTTAATAAATAAATCATCGAACTTTAAAATTTGGTAACCTACATCCTTTTAACCTAAAACCAACTAACAATATTTTAAGATAATAAAAATATAAATCAATGTTAACGTCGTCATACGTCACGTCATCCAATCCCTTCGTAAACAACGGCATCGCTCCCCCTCATCAGTCTTCATTGCCTCACTGTTGTGTGTCCTCTCTACCATCCATTACCGTTATTGGCCCCTGCCAATCTGCCATTGATCTCCATCATTTTTTTTTCGATTCTCGTTCTTTTACAACAATTTAATGGAGCTCGTAGTGTACGGATCGTCCCCGGGGGCGATCCGTGTGGTCATTTCGGTAAAACCTCTAAAATGTGGTTATTTTGTGGCAAAGAGTTGTGTAAACCGGTTATTTTTATAAATACCCCTAAAAAATATGGAGGATCAAAAAACAAAAAGAGATCAAAAAGAGATCGATGACATGGCCAACAACGGTGATGGGTGTGATAGAGAGCAAACGACGATAAGACGACGAGGGTTTTGAATGACGTAAAGTTGGGAACGGTAAAACCAGTTTACGTTTTTTATTTTAAAACTTTCTTAGCCGATTTCAGATACCTGTTTTGGGTTTAAAAAATGTAGCTAACCAATTTTTAAAGTTTCGATGGTTTATTTACTAAAAAAAATTCAGGAACTTGATCATTCAAAATAAGAAAGTTTAATGGTTTTTTTCATTCAATAATATAATTCATGAACTTAACCTTTCAAAGTGAGAAAGCTTAATGTTTTTTCATTCAAAAAAGAAGTTTATAAACTAAGGGGCCGTTTACCAAACTATTACCTGGGTAAACGCTTACCAAGTAATATTACCTCACCGGATTAATATGGTAAGGACAAAAAATCTTACCCGGTAAGAGCGAGACAAGGACCAAGAGTTTTACCCGGTAAGTGAGGGCGACGACTCTTACCACGATAAACGCTTATCGGGTAAATTGTTGCGTACCATGTCGTTTTTGTGGACTAAAATCTTACCCGATAAGTAAATAATAGTGTTAAATTTACCGATAAGCACTTACCGAGTAAGTGTTTGGTAAACAACCCCTAAACCATTCAAAATATGAAAGTTGGTTGAGTTTTCTGAATACATAATATATTTTAATATTGATTTTTATTTATAAGTCTTTTAAACTTTAACTTATTAAATTATATTTAAATAACACATATTTCTATAGTCGGGATGGCTTAGCGACAACCATCAAATCATTTATTATACTCGTGAATTTCAAGTTTGATCGTACCCAATCTTTCACAGAATTAAATATACGTTTGAATTTTAATATAACAAGCTTAGGTACTGTGATTAACAACGTGTAACGTAGAAATACATCAAAAGAAATTGATATACGTATTAAGCAGATCATGCAACTATAAAACTGACAGAATAGATTGTTCAACTTAACTGAAATATGTTTTCCGGTCAAAATATATGAAATTCTATTAGTTTGGTGGTCAAAATATAAAAGCTGACTTCAAAAAAATACCTGTATATGGGAGGGTGAGATGGACTAGAGGTGTTTATCAGTTAAAATGTGATGATTTTGATGGATCTGATTCAATCCAAATATTCATTGGATGTTGGATTTTATCATCCGATGTGTCCAATCCAATCCATTACTATCAACTTATTATTACTATTTTTTTTTTGTGTAATTGTTTTATGATTTGCAAGTTTCTTATCATTTAACTCAAATTTGGGTGTTACAACTTGTATTAGGACTAATGAAATTCATATGACTTTGGATTTTTAGATCATTAATAATGGTATTGAAATTACAAGGGTGGTGTCTGATTGGTTTGAATTTGGCTTCAAATGTCAAAAATATCAAGAGGTCCAAGTTCAAATTCAAGGAGGAATAAAAATCTCTTTGTGGCCACGGAGGTTCAAATGGAGTGACTCCGAACTATCTGCAAATTAGGTGGTCACCCTCGATTAGTCGGCTCGCATAACGGGTTGAATATCCAAGTTAATAAAAAAATGGTATTGATGATGTGGGCTTGGCCCAAATAGTAAGCTTAAGTTTATCCTTTTTTAAAATGGGCCAAGCTCAAATATGTATAGCCGATGTACGGAAAAGCCCATGCCCATCCCTTTGTAAAAAGTGAATAAGTAGATGGATCTCATTGTGTTTGTTTGGAGCTAAAAAAATTTTTTGTAAGGGTGTCCGGGCCAAAGCCCGACTAATCCCCGGTAAATTTGGAGGCTAAACATGACCCCACTTAAATGTTACCAACACTCCCCTCCCAGGGTTCGAACTCGGGTTCATGACTATGTCATGCCCAAGCCTTTACCACTAGGCTGGAAGGTCTTTGAGCTAAATTTAGGGGTTATTATCATAAATAATCACAAGTTTTATTTTTTAGTCATTTTCAAACCTTTTTTTTCCTCAAAACGGCCAAGAAAAAACAACTCAACGTTACAAAGCGCTTTTTTTCCGTGGTGCTGTAAACTGCAACTTTGACTTACTTTTCTGCATTGATGCATACGGTGTAGCGCCGTAAGCTACAGTGCCTCAATTTTATTTGTTCAGTGGGTCTATTTTTCATCTGGATGCGTCAAAAATGTCAAAAACCACAAGAAAAAAATGGTCATTTGTGATAATAACCGAAATATTAGAGAGAGATAAAAGAGAGCTCAAATTGAGTGATGTAGTAAAATCAGTTTTTTACAAAATTTTAAATAAATTGAAATCATTTATGTTATGGAAACTAAGGGGCCATTTACCAAATACTTATCCGATAAGTGCTTGTCGGCAAAAATTAGCACTACCATTTACTTATCGGGTAAGATTTTAGTCCATTAAATCGGCATCGTATGCAACAATTTACCCAGTAACTGCTTATCGTGGTAAGAGTCATTGCGCTCACTTACCGGGTAAGACTCTTGGTCCTTGTCTTGCTCTTACCGGGTAAGATTTTTGGTCCTTACCATATTCATCTGATAATGTTATGTGATTTGGTAAGCGTTTACTCGGGTAAACACATGGTAAATGGCCCCTAAATCATCGTTTGGTTTCACATAATGTTTTTTTTAGAGATTTTGATTTTGTGGAGGACTGGGAATAGAAAGAATTGGAGCTGGGAGGATTGAAACTTCCGGTATAAACTGGTTTGTAGGATTTGGAATAGAACTGTATCTCATTCTATATAATTAATTTATGAAAACAAATTATAAATAACTGAATTACCTATTATTAATTGATTAATACAAAACAAATGTTTTTAACATTTTTAAAACATCGTTACAACAACGTTAACAATTTTAGGCAAAATTGCAAAGAATTACTTCTAGTTAACTTTTTTTTCAATTTTAAACTGCTACAAGCCAGTCCTTAAAAAGTAATTTCGAGCTTTAAAAAATGTTTGATTAGAGATATTAAACAGTAATTAACTGACTGATAATAAAAGAAACTATTTGATTTCATATAATATAATATAATGGGTTCATTCATTTGCAAATCTAAATTTTTATTTCAGGATAAACCGAAAGAATGAAAATTCATTCTCATTTTTATTCCTATTTATATTTTTCATTATTTTTGCCGAAACAAAAACCTCAAACTAAGGGGGTGTTTGGGATTGCTTATTTGAAACAACTTATATTTTTCTACAAATGTCCTTATTAACTTATTATAAGTTAGAATTATTTAACTTCTTCAAAAAATAATTATTACCGGTCTGGCACCGTTATAAGATGTTTATCCAAACACTCAAAAGTGCTTATTACCTATATTAAGTCAATAAGTTGTTTTTATAAGCAATCCCAAACACCTCTTAATTAATATTTCACTTAATGGTGTTATTGTAACCACAACAATAGAACCTTTTTTATTTTCTATTTACACCACACAAAAAAACCTAATCACAAGGAAGGTGTCTGATTGGTTTGAGCTTGGCTTCAATGGGGTTCAAATCCAAGAAGGAATAAAAATCCTCTTGTGGCCACGGAGGTTCAAATGCGATAACTCCAGGCTATCTGCAAAACAGATGTTCGCCCTGGGATTAGTCGGCTCGTATAGCGGGTTGAATATCCAGGTTAATAAAAAAACCTAGAAACAAGAAAAAAAAAAATTAAACATATTAATTTAAAAAAAAAAGATTTTGCAATTATTAATTTTACAAATAATGAAATAAAGGTAAAACACAAAAGAAAATTAATTTCCATATAAATAAATGCCACTCAAAAATTACAATAAATCCCCCGAAGGAGTAAATAAACAAAACCATAAAAAACAGACTTTTGCTAAAACCACCCCAATTTTCCCTTTTATCTATTTTTGATAAAATTTATAAAATACTAACTAAATAAAGTCAAATCAGTTAAAATAGTCATTTCTCTCTCATAAATCAGTCTTTTAACCATTTCTTTATCTGATTTACTTAAATATTATTACCTCCGTAACAAACACTTCCCTATCTGTAGACCTAACTAAAAGACAAAAAATATTCAAATTCAACCTCAGTTAGCAAGTGGTACCTTGTTAATTGCGGTTGAATCTGATTTTTTTTACTGGTATTTAGGCTCATAAATGAGAAGGTGTCATTTGCGGAGGTAATAATATTTGAATAAATCAAGAAGAAAAATGATTAAAATAATAATTTATGAGAAAAAAAAAACTATTTCGACTTATTTCCCTTAAATAAATTTAAAATACTATTTCGACAGGATACTTATGGATGCAATCTTCCCAAGGATTGTTAGCTGCCGGTTTAACGGTTCGAACCGCCTCCCAGACCGCGCTGTTGCACTTTAACCCGCTTCCGAATGCAATTTGCCAAACCCGGTTCCCTTTCCTCATCCGCCCTTTCGCTTCAGTGTAAGCCAACTCGTACCAAATCGAACTGGAGGAAGTGTTACCGAACCGGTTCAACGTCATTCTTGACGGTTCGACGTGCTCCGCCGTCAGCTGCAAATTCTTCTCCATCTCGTCGATCACCGCCCTCCCGCCGGCGTGGATACAAAAGTGATCAAACGCCAGCTTAAAATCAGGTATATATGGCTTCATTTTAGTGTTCGCTAGTTTTCTCGCGATTAGGGTCGCGAAGAACAAAAGCTGTTCGCTGATTGGAAGAACCAGTGGACCTAAGGTGGTGATGTTTGCTTTTAATGCACCGCCGGCGATCGCCATTAAATCTTTCGACAGTGAAACACCGGTTTTTCCGGCGGCGTCTTGTTCTTGGTAGACGCAGTTAAATGCGGTGTCGTCCGATCCACAGTGGGTTCGGACAACATGAAGAAGCTTGTATTTTGCACGGCGTTTATCGGCGGACTTGTTCGATAACAGGACGGCGGCGCCACCGACTCGGAATAAGCAGTTTGGGATCAGCATTGACTTTTTGTTACCGAAATACCAGTTTTGGGTAATGTTTTCCGTACTAACGACGACGGCGTAAGTATTCCGGTGAACTTGCAACATATCTTTCGCTAGATCAACGGCGATTACACCGGCGCTGCAACCCATACCGCTCAAATTGAACGTTCTGATGTTTCCTCTGAGCTTATATCTGTTAACGATCATGGAGGATAACGACGGAGTTGGGTTGAAAAGACTGCAATTAACCACCAAGATTCCGATATCTTTCGGGTTGATTCCCGTCGATTTGAAGAGATTATCAAGAGCACCAAACATAACTTCCTCCGCTTCTTCTCTAGCGGCGGCCATCGACGGAGCCGCCGGGATCTCATGTAACGCCGCCGGGAGATAAGTCTCCTCTCCGAGACCAGAACGTTCAAGGATCTTACGTTGGAACTCCAACGACGACTCGTTGAAGGCGCCGTGAAGTCTAGAATGTTCCATGAACACTTGGTATTTGACCTTCAGGTGGTCCGGCGGCCGGTAACAAGAATAGTCAACGAGGTACACCGGTCTTGGCCTGGTCAAACGGTAGGTGGTAAAGCCGATGACGGCGCTGCAAATGACTCCGATGACGGCGAAGAGGTGGTATTGCAGGTGAGCATAGAGGTTGTTGACGTCATCAAGATTCAGTTGGGTGGCATGGACGGCGGTGATAGCAATGAGAGGGAGGAGAGAAAGTGTTAGAAGGTGGGTGATTAAGTAATGGTAGCCTAACTTGACATACTTGAGTTTGACAGTAGCTTGAAAATCGGTAAGCATTGGCGGTGGTTGGTGGTGGTCAACGGTGGCGGAGGGAGGGTGGGAAGCGGTGGCCATACGACGGAGATGAAGGAAATTATATAATTATTAATTATATATTTATAGCATAAAATGAGAGGGGGGGGAATTTAATAGGGGTAGATAGATGGGATGAAACAGAGGAGAGGTAGATGCCACCATCAATGTCTCACCAAATTATATGATTCTTGACCACTTGTACTTTCTACCTTTTAAATCTCCTATAAAAAAACAGCTTCTTTTTTCGTCAATCAATTTCAGATTTAAAATTATTAGAAAATTAGTATTCGGTTACCCAGTAAGTGTTTACCGGTGAAGTTTAACGTTATCATTTACTTAACGGGTAAAATTTTAGTTCATCAAAACGATATCGTATGCAACAATTTATCAGGTAAATGTTTACCATGGTAAGAGTCGTTATCTTCGCTTACCGGGTAAGACTATTGGTCTTTGTCTCGTTCTTACCGGATAAATTTTTGATTCTTATTTCATCCAGTAAAGTAATATGACTTGATGTTCACTTGCTTGAGTAAGCGTTTGGTAAACGGCTACATAGTTTTCCTTCTTTTTAGTATTAAATAATTAAGTAATTTCATGTTTATTCTAATTATAGTTTTTTTAATATTTTTTTATCGATTGTGATTAGTTTGATTTTAAATAATAAAAATAGTATTAAAATCGTTTTTTTAATAAAATATATGCAATTTCAAGGTTTGAAACATTTTCTAACAAAATAGCTGAAATAAGAAATCAACTGTCAGAAGAATGGTGATCAGCAAAACAATCGTCAGTTATAATCAAAACCTGCTAGGTGTGGGAAAGGGATGAGAACCCAAATCCCCATCTCCGTCTCCGTCTCCGAGCCCCAATCTCTGTCTATGCCCCTGTCTTTATGTATGGCAACGGGGCGGGGATGGGGCGGGTTTTGTAATCCCCGGCCCCGGTTTGTAGTAACGTCCCCCAGCCCCGGCCCCCGGCGGGTACGAGGATTATCATCCCGTCCCCGATCAAATCTCTAGCAATCCTCGGTCAAAACCCGATAAAACCCCGGTCAAACCCCATAAGTAGTATCCTTTAATTTGATTCTACCGGGGATCCCCAGCCCGGTTTGAGTAACATCCCCCGTCTCCAGCCTCGTCCCCAATTTGAGTCTACCGGGGATCCCCGGCCTTGGGGCCCGTTTTAACAGGGAATCCCCGTCTCCGTTCGGGTCGGGTGAACCGGGTTCCCCCACCAGGTCGGGGTAAATCACCATCCCTACATGTCATCGTTGTTGCTGGGGAATATGATCAGATCCACACTTTCGTCTCCAATGGGGAATCAGGGATTTTTTTTCCCCATTTATATGAGATACTTAATACCGAAAATAGTCCATGTTTAAATCTTACATCCAAAATTCTGCTTTTATTGGAGCATTAAATATTCATATGTAAACAAAATCACAATATATACATAATTGTTTGATCAAACGCTTTCAGCTCTGCATGTTTTTTATCTATAAAAAATTTATAACAAGTTAGAAAAAATATATATAATAAAAAAGAACTAAATGTTTTTTTTTCTAATTCTAAAAGATACTAAATATAATTATTTATAAATAATATATTTACTAATAAATATATGACATATTTAATATGCGGGGATGAAACAGAGTAAAGAAGATGTTACCCGGCTTCGTCCTCATCGTTGGTACCCATTTTGCAAGAATTCCCGTCTCCGTCGAGACAGATATATTGAGTTCTTCAATAAGACGGGTCTCGTTGTTATGCCGACAACTTGCGTTCTACTTTAATAGTATAAATTGAGTGGGGATTTATTGGAGGGTCGGGATTTTATGCTTTAATTTTTATTTTATAATTCGTTTTATGTATTTAAATGTAATAATTTAGAGTTCGTTTATCCAAATACTTTCCCAATTAAATGTTTATTGGTAAGTGTTAACATTCTCACTTATTTTACCGGATAATATTCTAGTCTATCAAAACGACATTGTGAGCAACAACTATTTATTAGCTAAACACTAATCGGATAAGAGTCGTCACTCTCACTTACCAAGCTCAATCATTGTTATCGTTGTTACCGACTAAGATTCTCGGCCCTTTCCAAATTCATCTGGAAATCTAAGGGGTTGTTTGGTTCATGGATTTGGATGTAATTGAAAAGAATTGGAATGGTCAAATCCTTTGAACAAATTACAAATACAATGTTTGGTTCATGGAATAAAACTGATGGAATCCTTTTAATTCCAATAAATTCATTCACTCATAGATTTTACATTCCACGGCAATACCCTCGGATTTTGATTCTTTTCCGACAAATTCCTTCAATTCTTTTCCGACAAATTCATTCAACATTGCGTCTACCATCTCATCTAATTGATCTCTGGTTCGATCTCCATCTGGTATGATCGCGCGCGCTCTCTCTCTCTCTCGCGTAATTTCTCCATCTATACGAGATCGATAGACAACGTATGTAATCAAGGAATCGATTCAAGATAACTAGCTATCGATATCACTAGTCCAATTTCGTTATTCAAAAATCATAAAAGGTCATTTTTTGGATATTTAATTTCGATTCCAAAGTTGAATTCCGTGAATCACACAAAAAAATTCCAATCCGTTAAGAATTTCATTCCAATTCCATGCAACCAAACGTAATCACAAGGCATGGTCAAATTCCATCAAATTCCATTCCATTCTTTCAAATTCAAATTTATTTGATGAATTCCAATTCTATCGAATTCCATTCTACGAACCAAACGCCCCCTAAGTGACCTAATAAGCGTCTATCGGAATAGCGTTTAATAAACGCCCCCTTTAGACGTTCATTTTAAAAAAAAGTGAAAACGGATATAAGTTTGAGTTTGCTTTAAATTCGATGACATAAATTGCATATTCATATTGGTAATTTATTTATAGAAATTAAATAGAGTTGTTGATAGTTAAAAAGTTTTGGTAAAGCATTTGTTTGAATTAATAATCTATTTTCGTACATAAAATAGAATTATTTGGTAATTTATTGTAGTAAAGGACGAGATTGTAAAAGTAAGATAAATAAACAGTGTTCATATTTATGTCGTCAATTCAATTGAAATAATATAAATTTATTAGAAACAAATCAGGTGAAATTGTATAAATTTCAGTATTATAATAATCTGATGGAAAAATAGACAATTACGTACATTCATATATATATATATATATATATATATATATATATTATCAACCTGGATATCCAACCCGCTATACGAGCCGACTAATCCAAGAGCGACAACCTGCTTTGCAGATAGCCGGAATTCACCGCATTTGAACCTCCGTGACCACAAGAGCATTTTTATTCCTCATTGGATTTGAACCTGAGACCTCCTGATACTTTTGACCTTTGGAGCCTCAAACCAATCAAGCACCACCCTTGTGGTTCATTCATATATTTACAGGTTTATAAAAATAAACAATTATATTTATTCTTTTAAAAAACAAACCAACTATAAATATGTTTTGAATGCTTGATAATAAATGAGATCACTACATATATTATGTTTTGAAGTATGCTTTTGGAGTCTAAAGTAGATCGAACAATTATCTGACCCGTTAAATTTGAGGTATCTAAAAACCCGACCAATCCAACCCAACCTAAAGCGACTAAGACTCGACAGGATAGATCTAGACAAGTTGTCTTCGAAAGTTATTTGATGATTTTATATATAATATAATAGTTTTAGTTAACACAAGTAGTGCAATAATTAAATAATTTAATTTTTAAATATTTTTACATAATTTTTATATTAGTAAAAACATACATGTATAATAGTACCAAATTGGAATGAAAAATTTGATATAATTGATGGTATTTCGGGAAAAAAAAACATTATTCGTACAAAGAGACGGTACTAGTTGTGGTGATGATGAACTGTGGTGGTCGGTGGTTGAGGGTGATTGTGGAGGACGTGAAGATGGTAGATAGTGGTGGTGGTGGCGGTCGATGATGGTGGAGAAGGTAGTTGTGGCCGATGTAGTAGAGGTGGTGCGCATTGGTAGTGGTAGCTGATGGTGGTGGTGAGGTGGCCCATGATAGTAGTGGTGGTAGCGATGGACGATGATGGTCGATGGTCGTCAATGGTTGTGGAAGTGGTAGAGGAGGTTGCTATAATAAAAGTGGAGGTAGCTAACGGTGGTAGTGGAGGATGGCAATGGACAATGGTGGTTGGTGGCCGACAATGGCTGTGGAGGTGGTAGATGAGCTTATTGTAATGGAATGAGGTAAATGTGGCCAACAAGGGCCGTCGTTGGTGGCGTTACAGCAACTAGCGATAGTGACCATTAAAACAAATACTATATTAAAGTTAAATATCCAATGATGATAGATTATAATATTTTAGTTTATGTCTCATTCTTACACTATAAGCATAAAAATTCAAATTTCCCTTCTACACATTAGGGTGCGTGTGCATTTCTTACGACTTTTTGTAAGTAAAAGTCAAAAAATATTTGTTTAATCACGTCTTTTAATTTAGATTCTAGAAGGGTACTCGTGCAATGCAGCGAGACACATCTCGATTTTAATGTTTTGTTTTATTATTTGTTTCCGTCGATGTTATAATACGATTTTATATGTTTTTAAGAAAATAATAATGATTTTATTTTTGAATAAAATATAAATTTGAAAATATCATAAAAATTGAAAAAAATATATCAATGTTAATATCAAATCAACTATTTAAAGTTTTCATTTTTTTTTTGTAATTTCTTTAATTTATTTTCTTATTATGATTTAATTTAAGTTTAATAACGAAATAATTTATTTTTGTTTAATAATATAATTTTTTATAAAGATAATAATTAAACATTCTGTTAAAACTTAATGATTATCTTAATTATATTTTAGATTTTTTATATTTAAAATGATGTTTATCATGTATTTGATTATTTTTATCCGCAGTTAGTTACACAAATTCAAACATGAAGCTTTAGTAAGATGTACTCATGCATATCCTACTTGTAATCTTGAATTATAAGTAATATGTATCAATAAACAGTATT